AGAGGTAGTGTCTTAAGCAATGTTTGACAAGGATACTACTACTATTCCTACTGGTTGCATGAAGTATGTACTTGAGGATTTCGGATGTAGAACACAAGAAAAAAGAAAAAAGAGGATAAAAGATGATGAGACGAATTAAAAGTAGATGTGAGAGAGTAAATTAGAAAACTGTAAACAATGAATATGAAGAGAACGGGATATATTCAGGGTCATAGTGTCTGTCTGCATGCAGTTTTGTCCAGATTGGAAGGATCACGATAACTAGAGGAAAGTAAAGGTTGAAGTAGAGGTTTGAAGAGGAGGTTTGATTGAAAAAATGTGTTCTGTAATTTAGCATTCAAAAAAACTTGGTATCTTCAAACGGTCGAAATCGAAAACTTCAAGCCGAACCTTTTTGAAAATTTTCAGACCCGCTCTAAAAACACAGTAGATAATGTCGGATAAGCCTGAAGTTTTGCAGATCTACTGAAAAAATTAATTTTCCGTTTTGTACACGGATAGAACGGCACCGCTAAAAAAACTGCTAAATGACAGCTGAATCGGCACAAACTGGCAAATGACTGCCAGTTGGTAACCGCGGGAAGGACGACAGGCCGTCGACGGACTATGGACGGACAATCGGAACCCTTTGGAAAACCGAAAGTTTTGATTGGAAATCAGCCAGAAAACAATATGAAATGTTTGCTATCGATTATGGAATAATCGAAAAGACGCTGACTGGCCGATGACCGGTGTTTGGCGGTTCATATATAGTTGATACATTTTCTGTACAAGTTCTTCCAAATGATTCAGATCGTTTGAAAGTGCAATTTTTAGAAGAACTGGCATTTGGTTGATTTTAAGAGGTAAATAATTTTTATAAAAAAGATCTCGACTACAAAATTGAAGATATTGTTTTGGTGTAGTAGATCTAAGAAGTTTCAGACTCGTCACGAAACTATCACAAAACATGAAACAGATCATATCCCAAGTGTAGCCTGAACAATTGTAGATGAATAAACATGAATACGGTAATTTTATGAGCAACATAAAATATTCATCATTGTGATCATTAGCTCATTGTCTTCTCCTCCCTATTCCGAATGTTTACCCAAAAGTGTGACACACTGGTGACAGAATTTGGGCAAAAAGGGAGATACAATTTGTGTATGAATTCTTCTAAATCATTGAAACAGAGGATGAGTAATAGACCAGTGTTCTTAGAGAGTTCAAAAATGACGTTGGGGTAAATAAGATGAGTTGAGGAAGACAGTAGTGTTAGTTATCGAGTAAAAAACTAGGTATAATGATGTTACAAGTGTTTCAAACAGTAGTGGAGTTTACAAATTCTTGTATCAGTGGTTATTAGATGTATCACAGTATCTTCACATAGATGGTATCTTCACATAGAGTATCTTCACATAGATGGTTTACGTTATGTAACTCTGACCTAATTATGATGATAATCAACGAGATATTAGCTGATGGACCGGAAAGTACAACATAGGAAGAAAAAACACTTTGAAGGTTCTTCAAAGGATTATGAAAGACACAGAAAAGTGTAGAATAAATAATTAAGGTCACTTTGAGATTTGAGTGTGGTCACCTAAAAAACAAAGATTCGTGGACGAAGCTCAATGAGACTCTGTTCACTCTCCCCTGCAAAATGAGAAAAGGTTTGGAATGAGAAATGAGTCGTGATAACGAAATAAACAGAATCAATCTCTGATAATCGGGCAAGCGGTAATGGTGGGAACACAGTTGACCCCTTGGTGTGTTCTCGAGAGACCCTCCCTTTTTCTTTTCCTCTTTTTCTCTCCCCTGTACACAGATGGCCGTTCGAAAGAGAAAGAGCTGCTTTCCGCCCACCCGTCCGCACCGCCTGTTTGTGCCGTATGCATATATATTTGAACTACTTTGCTGCAACCTCCCATCGAGCAAAAGCAAAAAGGCTAGAGAGAAAGGGCTCCAAATAAACAATAAAATGAGTTTTGGAACTACGCGAGACAACAAAAAAACAATAGAAGAGGTACTGTTTCACTTTGGAACTGATGTTCAGGTGGTCAACGATGGAGTACCTTTGGAAATCAGAGATCCTACAAAAGACAGTCAGCAGAAAAGTTGCCGATATTCCCTTGTTGAAGCTAGAGCATTCAGATGAAATTTTAGGACTCTGATGAAAAAACAGCTTCCCGGAACCTTTCGATTTCATTGGAGTTTGATTCCTTGAAAATGTCGAAATGTTTATTGTTAGGAGAAACTGATACACTTCGAAAAATTGAAGAAATCGATCATGGCGAACGGCTGAACTACCGTTTTTTCCTCTAATAGAAGGCCCTCCAAACTGTCAACTTCGAGCTCAATTATCTCTATTCCTGTGAAAGATATCGAAAACTTGTCAACTGATAAATAGTTTATTATAATATCACTAATATTTTATTAGTTGACTAAATTTTGATATCTTTCACAGGAATCAAAATAATTGAGATCAATGTTGACGGTTTGGGTGGGTTTCTATGTATTACAGGAAATACGAGACCTGATTTTCCCTTTTGAACATTTTGAGCTGCTAGTTATTCTTATCGTTTTCTACACTGTTGTGGTTCTTACAAGAATCATTTTGAGTGATACATACTGTTTGAAGAAAATTCAATTACAGTAAGCACTCTAATAGAAGGACTTCCCTAGCTTCATCTTTGAGCCATTATCTCAGACCCTGTAAAAGATATCAAAAAATGGCCAACTGTTAAAATTGTACTGATGTTATGATAAACATTTCAGTTGACCACTTTTTGATATCTTTTACAGAAAATGAGATACACTGCGTTGCAGGTTCTTACGTCCACACATGTTTAGGGTCATAACTTCAGAGCTGTTAGAGGTATCGGTCTGATTTTTTGAAAATCGGATTCGAGACAACAAATTAAATCTAGTGGACAATTTTTGTAATGAAACCTTGAAAACTATCCGAGTTATCTGGAAAAGTCTGAAAATATGCAACCGTTAGTTTCAAAAGTGTACTGATTAGCCAGACTTTCGTCTGTTGATCCCTTTCGCCACGTAGAGGCTCAGTACATGAAAGGGAAAATGGGTTTTCACTGGGGGGAAACACACACAAAACCCCTGTCTCCGAGGAGATAGTTTTCTAATTTTCAATAGTTCTTTTTAACTGCTAAGAAGCTATACGATCGCTATTTATTGTTTTTGTTCATTTGTTTCTTTTTTCATTGATTGAGTCTTTTACAAAAGGGGGACGTTCAGTGAAAATGAATTCACCTAGCCATGAACCACCAAACATGGCGACCCTGGGGGTCTTTTATAACTTTTTTCGCATCCGACCAATCGAAAGAAAAAAGCAAATGAAACAATAAACAGCTTACGCAGGGAGCTTCAGGGCAGTCAAAAAGTGCTAGTGAAAATTATCAAACTAATTCAAAAAGTGGCATTTCCCAAAGCACTTTTTTCAATACGTGGAATTTTTTCCACGTGAACAGAGGTAGGGGGTGTGACCTAATATTGATTGGTTCAAATGTTTATTGCGTAACGTGTGAAAAGTTTAAAAAACTCGAAAATTGAATGTAGATTTACGTAATCCATTAAAAAGCGAGAAACTAACGACGAGTAAGAACTAGGTTGAATCGCGCCGAAGGCGCACCATCTGTTGTTATATTTATTGGGTAATTATCTCGGTTCCTATAAAAGGTACTCGAAATTTGTCAGCTACTAAAATGTTAGTGGTATGAACGGTGATAATTTTGTCAGATACTTTTTAGAATGAAAAACATTAGGTTTTTTAAAGGTTTTTTGTAGATCATGTTAAACTTTAACGCCTTCCCCCAGTTGGATCCGATTCAGTTTTGAAAGAAGTTGAGACAACGCATTTTGTGATCGTCGGCAGGTGTGGGACCATGCTGGGAACGACAGTACTGGTAGAGGATTGGAATCTTGAGGGCAGGATTTGAGCGGATCCTGTTTTTTTTCGTTAATTTTCTGATGAGAAAACAGTCGATATGACAGTGTGAATGATTTAGTTGCATTCTGATAGTTTTTTGGTCCAAACAAACTCAAAGAAAGAGAAATACATAATGAAAACAACTTTCACAGTGATTTTAGTTGTACAGAATCTAAATTGGAGTCATTTTTATAATTTTTGTTGATATGTTCAGGAATATCTATATTTGAAAAAAAATTTTTTTCAATAAATCACTTTTTTTTACATTTTCCATTTCATTTTTCTCTTTTCCAAGCCCGTTTCCAAGAAAAAAGAATCAAAATTGGACACCTCCTTCTTCGCTGGAGGTCGTGATCTACTGATCTTTGGAGTGGTCGTATAAACTTGCAACGGTTGCATATTTTCAGACTTTTCCAGATAACTCGGATAGTTTTCAAGGTTTCATTACAAAAATTGTCCACTAGATTTAATTTGTTGTCTCGAATCCGATTTTCAAAAAATTAGGCCGATACCTCTAACAGCTCTGAAGTTATGACCCTAAACATGTGTGGACGTAAGAACCTGCAACGCACTATATATGGGCTCGAAAATGACCAGGTCATTTTATCAGAGTGTTTACGGTATATGTGAATGGCAAAATGAAAAAAAGCAAAAATCGGAAAAAAAAACCCGGTATGAAACGGAACAAAAATTAATTTTTTTGGTTGGGTTTTGATAATTCACTAATAGTGAATGTAATGGTCATAATCCCTTATTAACTTTTGATTCTTGTTCGTATTTCTTTCCTTCTTGATATCTGCCAAAACATCTCTGGCAACATGCCGTTGCTTTTTTTTCGGTTGCTTCTCCGAGTGGTTTTCATTAATCACTGACTGCTTCTTCTCTTTTCCTCTCTCCCCACCTTCCTCTACCTCCGAATCCTCCGATTCTTTCCGCCCCCATCCGACATCAGCTGTTTGTTGCCCCTTACTTCTTTCGATCTCTTCCGTCCCGCCCATTTTTTCTCATCTCTTTAGACAACTCAGATTCAGTCTCTTCTTTTCCTTCTTTACATCGAGAAAACAACAACATGGGCGCCTTCGATCGCGTGAGTTTTCATCTTTACTGTTGTTGTTTTGGCACCTGCAGATACTTGGAAATGTGTTGAAATTTTCCATGAGATTTACGGTAGATGAGTGGAATGATTACAGGTCAAAGCACAAGTGGCATCTGATTCCAAATGGACATCCAGTCCATACAAGGGATTCGTAGCTGGAAGTCCATCTGGAACCTATGTGGATATTGTTTCAACTGCGTAAGCTTCTAGAGAATCTGAATTTTAGAAAAATGTATGTTTTTAAGTTTCGAAGATGCAACGAATACAATGAACTTTGCTCGTCACTCAAAATACGATGAAATGTATACCCCATATCTTGGATCATTCCGCGAACGACACAACTACACTTCGATTGCTCCTAGTTTGTGCATCAATAGACCGTTAGTTCTAAAAGATACTTTCTGCTGTGTAGTGTTCTTTTTTTTTTCAGAAACCGAGCAATTGAATATGATCTGGCACCTCATAAGGCATACAATCCACGTCAGTCTGAATGGCTTCTTGAGAAAGACAAGAAGTACAGGTATGGGTTCAAAATCAAATATCAACAGCCGGAGCCTTCTGAATTTCAGAGTCCGCGGCTCTCGTAATATCATTCACTCGAAAAGCACCTCGGATCTCAGTTTGCCTCCACTGACTCGCCGTACTTTTACCGTTCCTACGGATACTATGCGGTATTTTCTTTGATTTGTACATAGCGAAAACTCGTTAAATTATTATTTTCCAGCCATCAGAACCAATTCCTCTACTGGAATGGACGTGCTTTGGGTCTTGACTACGTGGCTCCATTCCTTCGTCGTGAAGACTATTCTCGTCACGAAGACCGTCGATATCAGAGAATTTATTGGTCTCCACAGTTCATCGACCTGCTCCCGTCTTGCCGTCATTCGGCTCATCTTATGCTATCTGCCTATTAAATCACTTCCAGATGTGCTTTCGTCTTTTTTCTGTGTTTTTTTTTCTACCGCTTCCTTTTTTGTTGTAATATTTGATGTTCTGAACAGGGGTGTAAAAATCTTTTCATTGCTAAATAAAACGATTCGAAACACATTTTTTTGCCAAATTTCTTGTATGCTTAGTCACTTTCCTGTTTAAAAAGGTGCAGAAACCTGAGAGCTAATCAACAAGAACTTATAGGAACCGATAAAATACAAATTTTAAGAAAAACTACAGTCTCGTTGGTCCAGTAGGCAGGAATAGGGGCCCAGTATCCAAGGGTACATCAGAAAAGGGTACATCGAGGGTACATCGAGTTCTTAGGGTACATTGGATCAGAGGGTACATCAGTTCTTAGGGTACATCTGGGAGGTAGGTTCAAGGGGTACATCTGGCGTTGGTTCTGAGGGTACATCGGAGAAAGGATCCCAGGGTACATCGACAAGTTCTTAGGGTACATCAATTAAAATTTTTGTAGTTGTCAGCTGGGATATATTTAGGTTTACACTGCACTATTTTATTTGTTTTTTTTGTCGATTTGTTTGAAAAAGTACAGTTTTTCATAGTTTTATTGACTACTCGCCAAATGTGCATTGCAGTCCACTGCAATTCAACGAAAACTGCCGAAACGCGATGTAAAAGCGCCAGAAAGATGGGGATACAGAAACTAGGACCAGATAATTCGTAATAGACAGTAGTAGTTTTCATTAATTTTTAATAAAACTGGTTTTTTGTTGACATGAGTTTGCTCTCAAAATCATCTCTTAATGTCGCCGGTCGGCCCTCTTGCTGTTTTTGAAGGTATCATCGTGTTGCGATATTCCAAGGATTTGTTTTCTTCGGCAGGCTCAAAATGTAATAGTACATCTATTGCATTCTGTGGATACAAGCTCCAATAAACAAATCTTCCTTATTAATAAAACGCTAGAGGCGTCTGTCCGTCCTCGTGTCCGTCTGTGGACTTTTGAAAAAAATTGAAAAATACATATATATTTACGTGACCCTTTTATTTAGAAAAAGTGAGAAACGAAGATTTGAAAAAAATAGATGGAATTGCGCCGAAGGCTCACCAGCTTGCTGGTCAATCAATAAAACTATGAAAAAACTGTACTTTTTCAAACAAATCGACAAAAAAAACAAGCAAAATAGTGCAGTTTATACCAAAATATCTTCCAGTTGAAAACTACAAAATTTTTAATTGATGTACCCTAAGAACTTGTCGATGTACCCTGGGATCCTTTCTCCGATGTACCCTCAGAACCAACGCCAGATGTACCCCTTGAACCTACCTCCCAGATGTACCCTAAGAACTGATGTACCCTCTGATCCAATGTACCCTAAGAACTCGATGTACCCTTTTCCGATGTACCCTTGGATACTGAGCCAGGAATAGGGAGTCAGAAAACATTGCTCCAATTCGCTTTGCGAAGGCCATCAAACTAAATGTGTCATACGAGATCTCTGAAAGACTCTTCTAGTGAAGAAACAAAGTGGAGTTTCTAGTTTGTTGGCAGGAGAGACTTTGGAGGGATAAAACAGTTCACAGTAGTGATCGAAAACAGGTCCAACGTGGATCAGAGAGCGGAATGAATATTATAGGGGTTATATTAGTGATCAGCAAGCTGGTGCGTCTTCGGCGCGAATCAATATAGTTTTTTACTGATTCGTGGCTCAGCTCCTCAGCTATTTTTAAAGGGTCACGTAAATTTATATTAATTTTTCAAGCTTTTCAAAAGTTTACAGACTGACACCGGGATGGACAGACGCCTCTAGCGTTTTATTTATAAGGAAGATTGGAATTCTATGCCTATTGAATGGGAGTTAATCGTCAACCAGGAAAACGAATCATCGTTCAAACCGGTAGCATCGGATAATATCTTTTGAAAAATGATGATCCTACTAAACTAATCATACTTTTCAAAACACGAGAACTTTATTTCAGATCTATCACTTTTGTTCATACTTGTAACGGGCCGGG